GGTCTATTTCGGCCTGCATCGATAGGACATATCCAAAAATTAGCATATAGTACAATGACTATGTCAATTAAAAAAATTCTTTTCAGTGAAAACTTACTTTTATCCATACGTTTTTCAGATGGTTTTTGATGTTAATCAATTGTCATATGTTGGTTGTATTTAAGTATGGTCAGTACAATTTCCATGACTAGATCACTGTCTCTCTTAGCAAGAGTTACCTCCCTTCGTTTAAATAAAAATTATTTTAATGGTTAAACATGAAAAAAGTTACCGTAATAAGGATATGATTTAATAAAGCTGTATTATCCGTAAGACCACTATACTGAAACATCCGAAAAAGAAACAAAAAGCTGTACTGAGATTTTATTGATTGAAATAGCATCTTTTATTCGATTATAATTTAACTGACGTCTCCATTCTTTAGAATTATCTAATTTTGTCATATTTCATATAAAATTATTTACAAATACATGTACAAATTTTAAAAAAAAATGATATTTTCATTTTAATTAAATCTTAATATTAATTTGGTAGTGTAAAAGCCATCATTCTATGTAAAACTGATGTTAATGCTTTGTGAACGAGGAAGGGGCAAGGCCGAAAATCGTCATAATCGAGAAACACTGGGCTGGAACTCAATTACATTTTGTTATCATTTAGATTAGAGAGGCTCTTAAGGGAATCTTTCTGGTCATCAACCAACGATAACTCTTAAGCTATGGTTCATTAAGATAGTAGATCTAAACAAACCCGTGTGTGGCCTCATATTTTCATTCATTAATTAGACAGTTCGATAAATCAGGAAGACTTCTGACGGTGGAAGATGACGTCTTTAGAACCACGATATCATTGATAGGAGGCACTTTGGCTCGATACCAGATACCGGGCACATGTTTACGACATCTCCAGCATGCACATGACATGCATCGATTGCATAACGTGTCATTTTCGACAGGCTTTGACGGACGGCAACATATACAACATGGCGGTTGGGTCAAGGGTCAAGATAGGTCGAAAAAGGTCACAATTGGTTCGTGCTGTTCTTATCGTTTGGCAAATCCATGTTTCACCATTGGTGATCAGTTTCGATTGTACTGATATGTCGGGCCAACCATTGAGGCCACATTGGTTCATATCAAAATGAATAGCACAGTGACAAAAATGAGGTTGCGGTCACAAATTTCACTTGGTAGACGGTACGTAATTATCGAGGTCAGCGGGACGTGCATTTAAAAGGATGCTTACAATTCATTATGTAAGGTAATATAATAGAATATAACTAACACACTTAAGTCTGCAAATTTCATTCAAAATACGCTTTATTTTATACACTGTGGATACGGCCGGGGAAAAGGACAGCATTAACAAAGGGTACCTATACCTATGGATATATATACTTGATAATGTGTGTCATTAAATGTTTAATACAGATTTATTGTCATACGTCTAGTCGTTTGTAACATTAGTCGTTCTCAGGTTTTCTAAAATATAAAGAAAACGTACATCTACACATGTTTATCGAAGGTATTTGGGTGTTCCCAAACAGGGCTGTCCCCAGTTATCTCCCCAGGTAACCACAAAGCTGGGTGACAGTAAAAAGGTCATCTTTTAGACAATATTTAGCCACATTAACAGAGGATGTTCAGACTTATTGTCTTCCTCTCAAAAACACTGATATATGTTGGTAGACGGTTAGATAATACTCAAACATAGTGTAGACTACAACAAACAATTTGACAAAACACAGAATAAAGGTGATGACATCTACAAATAGTGCTCTATTGCTCAAACCCGTACCGGCATCTTTAATGTATTCTAGCGCCACGGGCTGAATATTGAGACAAAAGAATCCCTCACAGTGTGGTATTTTATGATTTCTCGAAGTGGCATGAGGTAACTTCAGGTATGACATTATCGTAATGATTCGTCCTTCAAATAAACGACCGAACCGAAAAGATATTAAAAGGAACAATATCATAAATGGATGATCTAGCTAAACGGAGAGTAAAATGTCATGATCCATCAGAAAAAAATACATGCCATGACATTGGAAAAACGTTGCTGGTAAGTGTTGTTTCAATGTCACACGACCAAATTGATTCACATTTGAAAAATAATATCTTGTAATGAAAAATGAAATAAAGATATATCGTTATATTAATAGCATTGTGTCTAAATGAAATATTTTTTGTTATACACAATTCTTAGAAATCAACTCGAAATATCTTTTTTCATCATAATCAAATGATGATGAAAATGATCATTTCATTTTGTGAATATATCCTTTAATTCATCTGAAATTTGATAACATCTAACAAGGAAAAATATAGACCAACGTTGACATAAAGAGAAATCCATGGAAACAAGGTCATATGAAAACAAAAGTGAAAGCTGCGTAGACTTAACAAAGTTGTGAGAACAAAGCCTTGTAAAATAGTAAGCCATTGTTTATCATCAAGTATAATACCAATTTATAACTGTATACCAAATAATGAAAAAATGTCGAAAATTGCTATTGTCATTCATAATCAATCATACGGTTAGCGCTTCTCCTGTCTATATTGTGACATTCTTTCGACTAATTTCGATATTTTTTTTTACCTTTCTCATCCTGGGTTTCAGCAATTTACATTGTAGGTCCTTAAATCACAGACGAGTTCTAAAAGGTAGGCACATCATTTTGATACATTTTAATTCAATATTTGTCTATATTGTATCAGATTCAAAATTTCAAGTGGTTCTTCCAAAATTACTACCATCCACAAAGGTTTTTTTGAAAATAAGTCCAGATCAGTTGTTCGGGAATGCCAGTCTCGTGCTCGCGCGCTGAAGACCGGGCCCTCACAGATCACCTCTTTAATTGGCAGTGTTATCAGAGAATATGAAACGAACACCGTCCTGTAGATAAAACTTTAGTCCTAGGAATCAAAGAAAGCAAGCGTATAGGGATCTTATCCACTCTCATTAGTAAGAATATATGGGAATTATCGGGCGCGTTTTTATCTACTCAATGTTTATTTTAATGGTAGGTGATGCCACGCAATAGAGGGTTTCTATAACATGTCAGAACTTATGTTCACTACTAGCTTATGAAGTATAACTTACATGTTTCTTTTTATTAAATTAGCAAAGAAACAAATTCGAATCGGCTTGTCTAACTTGTTAAAGCTACTCTAAAGAAATCGTATTTCCCAAATGCATTGTAATATCTCGAATGCTGTAGTAATACCATTATGTAATATTATTTTCATGATGTTTCAAGAACATCTGTCATATGTGATTAGCGAGAGTTAATATATACGTCATAATAGATCGACAAACATTTCCGCAAGGGATACTTCAGTGGTTAGTTGATAGTCTAAAAACAATAATGTTGATGTCATGTTGTGCAATGATCAAAGACTACACCTTTTTGTATTCTGTTGCACAGAGTGTTGACGGATTTTTAAGTCACAAAGAAAATGTCTATCTATAGGTCAAATTTTTTCGTAGTGTGTTTAAATATCACTATGGTGTTATAACGTCACTGGCTTCCACAGGTTGTATGTACCTATGTATTTCAAATGAATTTTCAATAATGATTTTAACACATTATTGACCGGTATGCTTAAAACCCAATTTCTGATAGAGCATGTATGAATTGAATGTTTACGCTGAACATGAAGAAAGAAAAGTGATTGTTGATAATAACCTAGGTTAGTTGGCAGTACACATAGGCGGCGAGTGATATAGCTGAGAAGAGAAATACTTAGATAAGTAAAAACACAGTTAATATAATTCATAATCAAGGTAACACAAAAGAAGCGAGATATCAAGTCATTTCAACTGTGAGGAAAATTCAACTTTATTTTACAACAATTATTAAACATCTTACTTATATACTGCTCTTGTTGCGGATGGATGTAAATGTGAAAGGTAACTCTAGTATCCGGGAAATTCCCACTTTCTAGGGAAGAGGACCTCGTAACTTTGTCACGTTTGTTTGGAGAATCGAATTCCGAAATTCTATAAAGATACCATAACAATTATGAAGATACGTCCTATTTCCTATATTGGTCGATGGAGTTTATAAATACTACTCTACTCCCATATCTAAAGATTCATTCTTTGTGGAGACATATGCATTGTCCATACAAGAGAGGAGCAGTGACGCTGTGTTGCCGTTATTCATCTCAGAATGTTAACAAAAAATAGTTTGAGGACATGCCTATTAAAAAGGTTATTTACGAGACAAGCCATCGGGTTCATCTGTATATACAATCTTCGAAAATACTACAGGAAGTATTAAAAAGCTTATCTTCGCAATCAAAAACTCTCTCTTTCTGCGCAAGTAACTTTTTTTATCGGTGTTTTGAATTTCATGATTTTCCTTAATCTAACCTGAATATATGCACAATTCCTTCACAACTTCCCTTAGAGTACTTTTCTGCTGTAAACCTTTCATTTGTTGAAATATTTACAACGCCGGAAGCATGTGACTATTTTTCCAATCGCCCGTGAGAAAATACAATCGGCCATGATATCAGGGTTCCGGACGAGTAAGCTGATATCTTCGATATATTTCTGAAACATTAATCTGATGTGGAGCAGTGGTATTATCAGACTTATTCACCTTCAAAGGAACGTGCAAGATTTCTGTATCTTTCTTCAAAGAAACAATCTATTATTTGTACAGATTTATGTGAAAGCGAATTTTGAAACTTCCTGGAGAAATAAATTGAGTTTTGTTTTTCGTATCAATTGGTTTCGTTGTATTTTTAATGATATTCATAAAGAATTCACATGAAACATTCTATGCTAAAATTGTGTCCCTGTACAAATTATTATAAATCGATGCAATAGTAATATTTAGAATCGTAACCAGAAAATTATAATCAAAACTGATCTTTGGGGGTAAGAATTTACACATTTGTTTCTATCATATTCAACGGTGTTGCTCTCTGTGGGAAGGGCGAAAAGTGTAAGCACCGACCAGGATTTCTTTTTAAAACAAAAGACAATTTATATCAAAAAGATTTATTTTTATAATTATGCATATCAATAAAGATATTAAACGATATTAAACGTATGAAAATAGTTTACAGTCATTTACAACAGTAAGGAGATGTATACAACAGTGATAATACTGTCCTTTAGGGACCACACTTTATCCGTCAGCTTTCACACAATATTCTTGTGCACCATTTAAAAAACATACACATTCATATGTCCATTTTCACTTTAGAAACATTTGTAACACACTCATCCTCATACATACACATGGTGACCGAAATACCCAACAATCAAAGTATAACAAGTATTATTGCGGTGACACAAATCACTTCCATTCAATGTTATTTACAATAATGTTACCTCCTCGTACGTAATGATACGTGTACCCCATTTCACCAATAGCACTTAGCAAGGATTTCAGTTTTTATTTGCTCTCCATGCTTTCTCTCATATTCACATTTTACTTATGAATACAACACCAAACAGTGTATCGAAGAGATTTAGCACTTTCAGCGATTAAAAATGAAAATAATATCAATAAATAAACGGTCTAAATAACATGTCTTCAAAATCAGAGAAAAACAATAAACGTGCGGTGGTTTTTTTTCGACAAGCTTCATGTTCTAAATCTGCTTATGGTCATATCCCTGATACTATTTAAAACTGTGTACACCACACTGAAGATATGACAAACTTATGAATTCAAAATCTGTGCCATTTTCCATATATTTTACAGCAGCTCATGTAAGAATAATTTTAGTGAAATTACACAGGCATAAATACCATATGAATTAACCAAATTTGAAACAGATAGACATGTAGTATCAATATTGCACAACTTATTTGAATAAGTTATATACAAACTGCTTATTTAGGCTAAAATTGTGTTTTTATCAAGATAAATATCCTTGACTATATGCTGTGATTTACACTTGATCCATTTGACCTCTACAGATGATCTCGATACTGTCAACGTGGAGTTTCTCCTCTTTATCGCGCATGATATTTTCGATGATAATGTCAATGAGACGGAATCAGCTGGGATGATTACTGTGTTGCTAAGAATACCTTTCACTTGCAGATCTACATCACGTGACATTATCAGCACAAGAATCTCTGGGCAAGTATGTCTTTAACACTCTAGGAAGACGGCGTATAGACACAAAAATCGTTCTGAATCATGCGCCGCCAGATATTTTTGGCGATGCAAGGGTTTTTGAATGTTGCTGAGGGTTTCGGTATTTTCGTTTTTGTTCGTTGATTTAACTTTTAGTTGGCTGTGCTGTACAAGAAACAAATGATGAAGTCGTTTAATATGACAGTGATGTTTTTTATGGTTGATGATAATCATCTTTAGCTTTGTCAAACCTTTCAGTACAATATCAGAAAGTTTTAATCATATGAAATTGCCAAGATACTGGAATTTGGATGGAATTTTAAATGAGAACTTAAATCCTTTCACTTGAATGGGGTGACATTATGCATTGTAAAAGTAACACCCGTATTTAATTTCCATAACTTGGCTTATTGGTTGTCAATACTTTTCATTTATTGCCTAATTGTAAAAAGTTCCACTTCAAAACGTCAACAGATCAGCTCTTTCCTTTCATATTTCTTGGCATATCACAACCGGAAGTTTTCATCAAAATTATTTCATAAACTTCCGGAATATCAATGACGCATCGATGTAGAAGTCCATGGAATTTACAACAATTCCAGTAGCTTCCTTTGTCGTATTTAATGAAATTGTCAGATTGAGATCCAAGCTGTTTTTGCAGCAAACATCATGACTTCCAAATATTTTGACAACGATTATGGTAACACCAACACGTTGCAACATGGTTTTAGAAGCTTATTATGTAACTTTGCTTGATCAGTTATATCTGAGCAATTGTGTAGTTATCATTGTCTTGCGTTTGAAGTCCATGATTAATTTCTTGGCCAAACTGCCCGTAAGGGCTACCATAAGTCTGTTTTTCCCCTCCCAGTGCCCCTCCCGCAAGGTTAGTCCCACCCACTCCAACACCCCCTCCGCCTAGTCATTGCTGCATTTGATGTCCGTAAGGATTATGTTGCATAACGTTATTGTATTCTTGGGCCTTGAGCCGAAGACATGCAATGCTGGAGCCGATGTTTGGTGGAGGAGGGGTGTAGGAGTGGTTCGCCAGAGCACAACTGTTTGATGATGTGGAGGGACTGTACGCGGGTGGGGCATACCATGACAGGTTGTCAGTGTTCATTGATGATGGGCGGGGCGTAATGGGTTGCTCAATTGGCGTGTTTTCCGGCCGGCCGTAAAGGTTCCCCCTTTGAGCCATCATATTCCGTTCGTTTCGACGAAATTTTGCTCTTCTGTTTTGGAACCATACCTGAAAATGAATATACAAAACTTTTAGTATCCCTGTTTTCCAATTTGTTATAAAACAAGAATATCGCACTTGGACATTTTTTTATTGTTAATGCAATTTTAAATGATTTTCATCTATATAAATCATTTTGTTAACATTATAAACATAACATGTATCTCCCAACATTATTACACTTTTGAATTATTGCTATACGAAACTCTCTTATAGAATATTACACGTTTTGCCTGAAAGTGACAATACATTAAACTATTCGTTCATGTTCTAATTTATGCATGTAAGGGCATACCTTGCAATATCATGTTTACCTAAAACTGAGATTATATTATGAAAAAACATTCAAGCTATTTCAGTGTTTTATATTACTTTCCATCTTGTTAGTGGTATGGTCACATAGTGATTGGTTTTGTTTGTATGGACCTGCTGGGTAAGTTGTGAGTTTATATGATTTGATTAATGATCCTCGCAGTAAAATCTTTTATTTAAGATTAGACTAAAGGTATATTTGCTACATATAAGAACCAGAAACATGATTTTTTTAAATATAATATAAAAGAGTCAGGCGAACATTGTAGCTTTAACAGGTGTAGGCATGTATTAGTATCATTTGTAAGTAGGCGATATTGTATTGTCCTGCATGTACATAATATACCATCGGGCAATTACATCTATAAATCTAGTGGTAATGTGTGTATATCTTATTGTGATACTGTCTTGTATAGTTCAAAGACAATATAAAACAATACGGTATGAAAGTTAAGGGTACCTACTGTTACAGATGAGACAAATATGTGTTACAGTGTGATGTGTGAGCCTACAGATACGATGGTATGGGTGTGACTGTAACTTATATGTCAAATTTACCTAATACTAATGACTTACCTGTACTCGCGCTTCACTGAGATTAACTCTTCTCGCCAATTCCTCCCTAACGAAGGCATCGGGGTAGTGTGTTCTCTCAAACACTCGTTCTAAGGCTGCCAGCTGTGTACTGTTGAACGTCGTCCTGTTCCGTCGTTGCTTTCGTCGTCGTTTGCCATCTTTATCATCTTTGTCCTCGTCATTGCCTACAAAGATAACAAGAGAATCAATCAGGGTGCAATAAACGCTGCAATAAGACAAACCTTGAATTTGATGCCAGATTCCTATGTTCATTGGCTGTGTATAAGTGATAAAGTAACCTCAAACATCTCAGGCCAATAACTTTTCTAAAATGTGGTAATACACGTAATGTATCTGTGAACACATGTGCACAATCAGATTTATTTATTTTTTTTCTGTTATTAAAAATACGGGAAAAATCTTTTGAGTATTTACTGTATCTGTTGTACTCGCCTCCATTGTTTATACATTGCAGATCTGAAATGAGCAATGCTTGCCCTATATTTAACGAACACCAATACCCTTATTGTGCCAAATCTGTTGGAGCCCTGACAAGCAATGCTACACAGGAAGACTGTTTACGATGCCGGCTACGACATTTTGTACACAACCCATTAGACTAAAGCAAATGTTGATAGTTATAGTGAAACAGAAGTATATATCTCCCTCCATCCTTCACTCTTCTTCTCCTTCTCATAATTCCATGCGTATTATGCTCATTAGATCTAACCTCACCATTGTTACATTAGATGGCCATGTGACAGTTATTTCTATGTGAAGACTACAACTGTTATGCGGAGATTTATTGTTGATGTAACATATACACAAACTGCACGTGTTAATATCTTCTCTTCTGAAACTGTTCTGCCAGGTTTTTTTAAAAACATATGTGACGTTACTAAAATGTTTATTTGTATGTGTTTAATGTGTTATCTAGTTTTGTTTATATAATGTGAGTTATGATTCGGTACACGACAGAAAAAAAATCGTTCTGTCTTCTATAGGAGAAAAAAACATAAACGTTACCATTACGAAGCTTAATAATTAACACTGTCTTCAGTTTTCTGTCTTAAGTTGACTATGCTGGTAATCATTGGACAATATCATATTAAGGATGATGTGGCAATGTTTCAATATAGGAAATGAGGGAACGAGTAATACTTGTAGAAATTGAGGACCCAACCCTAAAGGCAGCACCTGGTACGGGAATGAACTTAACTATGATAAAGGTCACTTTTTGGGTACACTACATGATAGTTGTGTGTATGTGTAACAACGTACCAAGTTGTATGCCCTTCGCTACCCCAAAAATCCTTGTACACAATCTCAAATCGTCCCGAGGATGGAAGGGTAAAATACTAAAGTGTTATGATGGCATACACAAGTCATTTTTGATAGTATGTGCTACCTTACATACACCGAACACATGTGCATATCATAACTTATCTACTTAACCTCGCCATACGCTTCCCTTTCATCCGTGACGCTCGGGACCTACTGGTCCATCTTGTTGAGCAAATTAAAACGTAAAAATGACATGAGAATGATAGAGAATGGCGCCATCTTACGGCAATGAGCAATGGAGAGGAGAGAGGGCTTCCCTGTTTCCGTAACCTCTCAACTTGACTTATCGTTGCGGAGAGGAAAAATCAAATGACAGTTCCTTTACAAGTGGAAAGGGTGATTTAGTGGACCTTAAACACTTAATGTCAAGGTTTCTGTGGCTAAATAGCAATGTTCACTGTAAATATCCCATCAGGCTAGAATCATTCTATACGAACGTGGTCCGTTCACTGTTAACATCAAAGCAAAGCTCTTGAAAAAGTCGGAGGTATTTTGAAAACATTGTTCAATATCTCCCATAGTGAATACCTCGTTATACTAAATTTAACACCACATAATTCATTTTCTAGCAACATGTTACCATTCATTGTATTTTGTATCATAAATTATCTTCATATATATGTGTTTTTAACAAATCATTAAGATATTCTAACTATTTGATTAAAAGAGAACATTGAGAACAGGCACTTGAAATTTCAAACCAGCTGATGCCGACCTGATGTTGTACGGGATGCCCACTTGATTGAAATCTAGTCTACAGCATAAATACTAGAATAATTTACATGGAAATGTTAAGCATTTGAATCCGAGAACACTTTTATAAAGTGCACTCCAAAATGATTAAAGTTAAAAAGTTTTTTTTCCACGTTGAAAGCAAGATATTCAAGTATGAACTCCAAAATATTTAGCGTAGAGACATACCTCATATATTTTACACACTAAAATATATCATATGCACACACATAACGTCAATATATGATATGAACATGCACTTAAATATTTTGACAGGGTTTCTATAACGGTGACTATGAGATACAACTTCAAAGACACCACGTGAATTGCAGCAACGGTGCACGAAATACACGTGCATGTATGCTTGATACATCGTTGAATCTTCAGAGACATATAAAACTGGCACATGTATGATGTATGAAACCAGGGCGGAATTCCTTATGTATTATATATATATGTGGACGAATATTCATAATAGCATTGTTAACTTCATGAATGTCACGTAATTATTTTATTTTCATATTTTCTGTTTTATCCTTAATGACAAAGTTATGTAAAAGGATAAAATCAGTTTTTCCTTGAAACGATTTAAAATCAATTTAGAACCGACAACTAGGTGAAAAGACTACTTCGGTCTATCGTAATATGTTAGATGAATGTATATTTGTCATTTTCAAGATGACAATACTAGGGATTTAATCCCGAAGACATTACCAAGATGCTCAAGTTCTGACAATACGTTATATGACTAGTTCTGACAATACGGTTATATGATGATCACACAACACAAGTGTGCCATCTGCTATATGAGAACAAGGGTTGATGCTTGTTTATCCCTTTGATTAAAGTATTATTAGGCTATGAGGAAAAGACCTAGTCGATGAACCCGTATTCGTCTCCAAAATGTCTCCTTCGTTACTGTGTCAACAGAGATGTGGGTGAACTACATATAAAAATGCATGTTTATTTATAATCTTTCAGGCAATGTTTCTGATAATTGAGAAATTATCTCGGATAGGCTGGTTGATATCAAAGTTTAATTATCAATAAATCACCATATATCAGTTATTTAATCATTTGTGGTACTGCACTGGCCTTCAACGCTCCTGGCTTTCAAATAACTACGAGCGTCTACATTTTGGAATCGGCTGATACTGGAGGGTGGTCGGCGTACAGTATACGCATTTTTAGTCGTCAAATAAACTTTCTTTTACAAAAATAAAGGCAAGCAATAACCACAAATCAAACAAACATAACACTAAAGTATTTGTATGGCACGGAGGAGAGACCCCGGTCTACATAAGATGCTGCCTTCTGGCCTAGAAGTCTTATGGACGTATAAAGCATTCACCAATAGCCTAAGATAGACTGTGCTGTCAAACACAAGACACAGCGGAGGATCTAAGATTTATCCTCATGCCATTGAGGCACGTGAAAATCCGCTTTGATAGGTACACAAGCGGCCCCACCATTTCTCTCTCTATGTATACCGTCGTTAGAGAAAGGAACATGTGTTACCAAGGCTCAATTCACAGTTCTGGGGCCAACATCAATCAGGCCAGTATAATTCTCGGTTTTCTAAATTGACATCGATATATATTTCTGCACTAACATCCGGGGACTCCAGTAACAAGTTTATGTGTTAAGTAATTCTCTTATCTTGGACCAAATGATAATAAAATCGTTTAGCCCCTCTAGTGCGGCAATTCACTGACAGTGGCTTTAGACGCTTGATACGATTACACCAAATTTAAAGCAACTTTTATAAACGTGTTATATTTTTTGTTTACATTCGCGTAACATAAATACTATGTCTTTATGTATCAACTATAAAGTTGTCTTGTTTACAGATATCCGACTATAAGTGAGGAAAAAGCATCACGTGATTATTAATCGACCTCATATAAACGCTAACAGACTCGACTGAAAGCTGAGATTCGTAATATTCAATTGCATCAGTATCACATCGGCGCTTATACAAGACATTTATTGCTCGAATGTAATTAAATAATAGCACGTGATCGTTAGGTGAATTACGAGTTGCACTTGTCTCGGGTATAAAACATCAAATATCCCTAAAATACATTTGTAAAACACTATAAAAAAGATATCTCAATCTAGTTATGTTGCCCAGTGTGCCTACATGTATAGTTCTGGGATTATCCCAAAGAATTCTGTACTCGCCTGTAAAGATGATAAAGAACTTAATTAATGAACTGAATATACTTCATAATCAATAGAAGTTAGACTGACATTACTGAAGTGACAGTTGGATGTTAACTTTTTATCTGTTATTGTTTGGTCAATATTTAAAATTTGCTAATTCTTTTAGGTATAACGTTTGAATGATGATATGTGTGATATGTGAAAGCATTAAACATTCTTTTTTCCTGTTAAGACTGTTGTTATATATGATATAAAATATATTTTTCCTTGGTTCCCATCAGTATCATTTATACATGTGTTTATGGGCATGACAGAATTTTAATATTCTTCACGAGCACAAAGCAGGATCGAAGAATATCAGTATATTTTGTTATTAAAGTGAAATATCTATACCGTTCAATAGAAACCATTCGTTCTATATGTATCACATTTTCAATACAATACCTGTATTGAAAAAAAGTAATTATCTGTAGAGATATATCTGACGTTATATCATGCTGATGTATATACTGAACAAAAGACAGCGACGATAACCCTGTCACTTTTAATGAATTCTGTAGGATGAGTCTACCAGGCTTAAATCAGGCTTCGATAAAAAAACCTTTGGGAAAAAACTGTTGTGATTGTAATAAAACATTGCAAAACTGCATTTTAATCCACCTTCGCTTCATTTACCACTGAAAAAACTGGCAGATGTCCGTGAAGAAAAATGCTATATTTCATTGGTGAAACTACTATTCCGCCGATGATGGCAAAAACTCATAGATTTTCCCTTATCAACCCGAATATAGATATTAACATAAGTTCTTATTACAAACAAAATGAATACACCATATATTTTGCAGGTGTCTCTAATGCATCTAATACAGTGTATGTAGTCTTTATTACGAAAACCTCTTTTGTTGTTAAAAAACCCCTCAATATTTGTCGTCATATATTCTTT